CTAGCTGCCAGCCATGCCCTGAGGCCTGAAGAAAGAGGGGATGAACTTTGACCCAGAAAGCCCAGGCCTCGATGGCACTGGGCGACAGAGCGACTTCTCGCCTGTTCCTGAGTAGTATCTAATGGGAATTTTATCAGAATGGGATAAGAGCAAAGGTGTTGAGAGTGCACAGGTCCAGTGAACAGTCCTAATGAGTTTAAGGACAATTTTCCTTAGTGTTCTGGAAACCAAGATGTTAATTTTGGAAGTATGGTTCCTTCTTTGATGAAAGAGGGTCAGAAAAAAAGGTCTGCCAGTATTGAAATCCTGTGGTTGTATTATTGATGTTTATACTTGAAGATTCAAGGACTGGAGAAGTAGTACGATCCCACTCTGGCCAAGAGGAATGTCTGGAAAAAAACAAAAAAAAAAAACAAAAAAAAAAATCAAAGCAGCCTTCAGACACCCAAAACCTTCCATGCCCCTTTCTTTTCAGTTAAGTAGGATGGCCAAATTGTACTGTCTTCTCCTGGACACTGCAGGACAGTGTGTGGGATTACATATTGCCTTTACACCAATAAAGTGGTCTTTTTCTTCATTTCTAATTACTTGACTTGTCAGTACAGCGATAGCTTTTGGGCTCTGCTTGAATACAGAAGTTTCTTTTGGCCTAGTTTTTAGATTGAATACAATCAGCTATTTTATAGAGAACATTATATTATCATCACAGAGTTCTTCAAAAGCATTTCTTGCATTTAAGTTCACCTTTCATTGTGAATTTTACAATCCATAAATAATTAACCCCATAACATCTGAGAAGAAGGTGTACTTTACAAAACTGGCTCACCTAAATTAGAGGAGGCGCTTTACAATTAGAGTGCTTTGTGTGAGCCAAAACCAGTTTTAACAGCAGATCTGGAAGATGCTTAAGGGGCAACAAAACAAAACAGTATAATAAAGCTGTAATGATGTACATTTAGAGATGTTACTTGTCCATTTCTGTTTCTGGGACTTAAGGTAGCCAGGAACAATGATATAGACTAACCCACAAAGAGCATATGGTCTCTTCCACCAAGCCAACAGTACAAGGGGGGCAGGGAACCTCCAGAATAGGTAAACCGCATGTCTTTTACTTGTATGTTTGCTTTTCCCATGACAGTTCCAGTCATCTTGAATGGTTAGCAGCCCAAGGAGCTATTTTGTACCTCCACACACACTTCCAAAACAGACTCAAAAGAACCTATTTCCCACATATTGATAAGAATACCACACTTTTCACTCTTTTTAACCACTTGTAAAATTGGAATTTATTGTCAAAAATGTAGAAAAATAAGTACATAGATTTAAAACAACAACAACAAAAAACTCCTTTGCCTTCACTGATAAATTGTAAGAAACTGAGGTTTGCAGTGTCAACTTGCATAATTGATAATGTTAATGTTAAAAATAGGCACTGAAGAGAGAGCTCGGCAGTTCAAAGCACTTGATGCTCTTGCAGAGGACCCAAGTTCAGCTACCAATGCCCAAAGTGATGTAACTCCAGCTCATCAGACACTACATGCATGCAGTACCATACAAACATGTGGGCAAACACTTACATGCATAAAATGGATCATAAAAGAACCAAAAAGAATGTTAAAAAATAGAGGCTTTAGATGGGCTTCTCAGTGAAGCATGGCTGAGATTCTTACTCTGACCTCCAGTACATTCCCTTATCCCTTAATGTATTCAAAATACATTCAGAATGTTTGCTAAACATTTATCACGTACTAAACTTCATTCAGAGTTACCAGTACACAGACATACACTGGAGGGGACAGTCAATATACAGGAAAAGATGTAGAAAGTCCCAACATCTAAACTATGAAAAAATAGTCTATGTCAACAATTAGCAACATGAAGTCTCATTCTAAATTATGCTTTTCATTATTTTTTTAACACGAGATGTTTTCTATTTAAGTACTTGAAAATGTCTCTTAATGGTAGAAGCATTTTCTCAGGGGCAACTACAAGAGAACACCCATAATGCCTCACTTTACATGTATATAGCAAGCATGTCCCCCACTGAGGTAGTGCCTAATTTTACCTTTTTGTTTGTTTGTTTGTTTGTTTTTTGAGTGGGAAAATAGTTCCCCCATTGCTACAAATATGCAGCCAAGTTTCCCACATTTGGGGAAACCTCAGAGGATAGCAGAACTGGAGTGGAATGATAAGCCTTGTCCTAGGAAAACTGCCTACGTGATCATGGTATTTCCCCTGCCAAGTAAGTCTGTAATTTACCTTTTAAAATGAAAACATTATTAATTAAGTTGGATGTTATGTATGTTTGTTGTTGCTGTTTTGAGACAGTCTCCATAAATAGCCAAGTTGGCCTGGAATTTGTGATTCTTCTGTCACAGCTTCCCAAGTATTGGGATTACAGGTGTATACCACCATGCCTGGCTTCTAAACTTGTTTTAGGAATATAAATTTTACTTACCACATTAGGAGGTAGAGGCCTTCATGTGATAAAGCAGGATTAACTGACTTTATAAGCTTAAGTATTAACCTTGTGTGATTGATAGTATTGTGCTCAATTCTTCTCTATGTATTAAATTCTCTTTTATAATAAACTAAGTGATTTTTGAATTTGTTTTTGTTTGCATCCTATTTTAAAAAAAAATATTGGGAGAAAAGGTATTTGAAAACAGAGCCATGAAAGGATTTTTGTTTCATTTTGGGTTTTTTGTTGTTGTTGTTTGGGTTTTTTTTCCCAGATATCACATAGCTTCCCCGATATGTAATTTATCTATCTGGGCCTAAGGTCAGCTATGAAGTGTATGCTAAAGTTTGCCTTTCTCACTGCCTTCTCTAGGCTGAAGAGTAGGAGAGCTGCTCAGTCTACAGGAATGAGAAAGTGTGTTCCTCTCCAGTGTGGAAAAGCACAGAGAACATCACAGTCATGTACAGGACATACTCATTACTCTGTAACCTATTGCCTCAAGAGAGTAACAACAAAAATCAGTACATGCTCCCCTGTGGTTACTGTGCATGCCTATTCCCCCCCCCCCCCCCCCCCCGGTTTCTCACATTGCCACACTGAGAGTAGTTCACAGGCCTGTAGAGTCCCAGCTACTCAGAAGGCAGTATTACTTGAAGGCAGTAATTCATCAAGCCAGCCAAGGGAACATAGTGAGAGCTTATCTCAAGAAAGAAGAAAAAGAGAAGGAGAGGGGAAGTAGGCTTAGAATAAAGTGTATCTGCCTGGCAGTTGGGGCCTGTTCGGTTACATATACATATACCCTGTTTAATTATATCTATCTTTGTCTCTGGGTCTATCTTCAGTCTCTTCATAAGTGGCTCCTCACTATGGGCTGATTGGAGGTCCTTGAGCATTCACAAACAATTGACATGGAGTCTGGTCTGTATTTGTGCAGAGCAAGTAGCCTAGAGTACAGGCTAGACTGTGCTTTTACTCTGGATGACCTAGCCTCGGAAGCCACATACTTCAGTTCTCTCTTACTCCAAACTGTCACATACAGCTGCCTCGAGGGGACGAATGTCAAAGTCACATTGTAAGAATGGCTTGCTTGTTGGGGAAGCTGCTGAAGCAGCTTTGAAAATACTACCTTCCACTATGATCTCTGAAGCACTTCGTTTCACTGTTCCCATCACCAGCTCGCCTAGTATAGGCATTGGGTGATAAGCTTGACATAGATTACAGACAAGTATAAAAAATTCAGATGAGTGAACAAGTTGAGAAGAACTTCATTCAGTAAAATAATTTAAAGAGTGCGTATATCAGGCTGGTAAAGTGCCAGAGCTCATGAGGACCCAAGTCAATCCCTAAAAGCCAGGTTTAGATCATGCATGGGTAATGCCAGCAATGAGTAGGCCCCTGGGCTCCCTGGGCAGCTAATTTAGCCTAATCAAGTTCCAGGTAATTGAGAGGTCTTGTCTTCACAATATGACAATATGGATAGCTCCTGAAGAACAACACACAAGGTGACCTCTGACCTCCACACATGTGCGCATGTATACACATGAACACACACACACACACACACACACACACACACACACACAAAGTATATCATAATTCAGTTCAGGTTCAGACTTAAACCCTTATGGTTAGCTTCAGTATATCTGTTGCCATAGTTACTGCTGATAACTGTGTCTAGGAAGAGGTTTCAAAATGCCTTCCAAATTGCTTTCATTGTGGATAAATAAGATGTATTTTCTTTAAATTTTTTGAAAAATACAAATCCCTTAAAATATGTTAAGACTCAGCCATAGTGTTAAATTGTCCACAATACACCATTCTGCAATATACCTTAAGTATCATAGTTAGATTACTAAATTACACTAGTTCCAACAGGGAGCCATGAAAGAATTACATATTTGAAACAGGCCATCCTGTTCTCCAGAGAGAGTTTCAGGACAGCCAAAGCTACACAGAGAAACCCTGTCTCTAAATAACAACCCCCCCGAAAAGATTATATATTTGAAACACATGTGCCCTACTGGAACCATGCATTACTTAGCTGTAACCACAGTACAATAATTAATAATACTACAAGTAATGCCAGAAACTGGATAATAATGGTAGAATTTTTTAATTTAGAAAAAATATGCTCTAAGACTGTTAACCGTATATTTCATTTTATAATTCTACCATGTTTGAGGTTTACATAAAGGGCATATATTATTTTATATACAGGAAAAGCATTTTAAAATGTTTTTTAGCAAAGTTGGAGGTGGGGGTGTGTGATCCATGTCTTGTTCTGTAGGGTTTTGGGGATCCCAGTCTTTTCTCCTTTGTTCCTGAGATGGTTGAGGTTTTGGGTCAGCAGTATATTTCATCAGCATCATGAATAATGAAAACACCTGACAGCTTGCCATCAGGCACTAAACCCAACCACAAAATGCCAGTCTAAGATGGGCCAGATACATTTCATAATACCTTACCATGCCAAACACCTGTGCAGATCCACCCAGCCCTGCTTACGCCGAAGTAACTAGATTAAAAGCAAACACAAGTGATCTAAAGATAAAAAGCTGAAGTTAAAGAACTTTGGGAAATGTCAAACTTTTAAAAATAGACAATATAGATAAAATGTACCATTTAACCAATTCACTGAAGTAATAGGTTATCATACGGTTTCATTTATTAATATACAACTGAGTTTCAAATACTATGTTAATATGATGTTAATCTCTAGTCGTTTTATGTAGATTTGTACTTCTTGGTATCTATATATTCAGAACATCTTAATACTAGAGAATGCCCACATATGTTTTTCAAATAATCAGAAAAAAAAATCCTCAAGGACAGAAGAGCCTTATTAAGTTACTTTATTTAGTTTGAATAATCTTAATAGAATATTCTTTCTTTTGGAAGCCAATTTATAATATATAAACTTCATTAGCTTAGAGCCCAGGAGCTATATCAATCGGTTAGCATCCAGGGGCCCACCAGAAACACAAGCAAGCCAGTTCTAAGTACCAGCTCTCCCTCTGTAATGCCACCAAAAACTTGGCTTTCAAAGGAGTCCTAGGCAGACACTGAGACAGTAGAGCTCCAGACTTTCTGGAAGAGGCAGCCTGTTGAGGAAGGTTGTGTTGGGAGAGTTATACAAGAGATTCATTCATGGTAGACGAAGAAACCTGAGAGAAAGCACGTAGGCCAAAGGAGAAATGGGGAGTGTTAAAAAGAAATTTTGCCATCGTGAAAGCAGCAGGATCGAACTATTCTTCTGAAGACACACTTGGATTTCTGAAGGGGGACTTAGAAATCTTTGGACAGGGACAAAAAATAAAATAAAGTTACTTTTAATTGGTAAGAAAATTATTAAGTTTTTGTGTGTGTTTGTGCGTGTGGTTGTGAAATAACTAGGCTTGGGTCCTTGTTTTCCCCTAAGAATTCATTTATTCTTTGAAGATTTCCCAGTAAGCAGGGAATTTATACAGACAGAGGAATCTTTATGTATAATTGTTTACAGTCAGCCTGCTTATACTGAGATTTGAAGATATGTTTTCTTTGCTAGCGCCCAATGCCAGGAAAACTGAAGTCAGTAATCACCTGCCTTGAGCTCCCCAGCTCCCTCACCCACCCCACCCACCAGGCTGTTTACCTTCTGAGACTACTGGAAAGGGAAAGTTCCCAGAGCACTTCTGTCGCCTTCTCTGTGGAAGCTGCTCTGTCAGGCGGATAATGAGGCTGATAGAACCAAAACCAGTATATCACCACCATGGCCTTATGGTGACAGGAACTGTGTTTTATCTTGTGCTCCGATCTCTGCAGACATTGAAGAATCTCACACACACCACACACACACACACACACACACACACACACACACACACAAACAAAAACAACAAAAACACCCAAAACTGTTCTTACATCTCTTTCCTTTCTTCATATTTTAACACATAACCTCAATACAAGGGATAGTGTATATATATATATGTAAGCCTTTAAAAAGACTATGCTGAGCCGAAAAGAGAAGTGTCTGGAACACAGGCAAAGTTGGGGCCCAAAGTCTAAAAATATTGTCAGAAAGTCCTCAAGTTCTTAAAAGTCATCACTATAACGTTTCTAGGTTTGCCAGAGAAAACTTAATGATTTTACAGGTCAGGGGTGACCATGGCGGTGTGTGCCTTTGATGCCAGCATTCAGGAGGCAGAAGCCCCATGGATCTCTACGAGTTCTAGGCCAAGCTAGTCTACATATGAGTTTCAGGCTAACCAAGGCTACAAAATGAGCCCCGTCTCACAAATTAATTAATTAATTAATTAAAAATAAAGGTTTTACAGGTCAAGTCCTACAAACTGTAATTCATACTTTGATTTATTCACTCTACCTGTGTACAGGAAACTGACAGGTAATGATTTTAAAGTAAATGTGACTGAATACCAATATCAACATTGGACATCATTATACATAGTTTCCATGGTAATCTTCCTATAATACCTGTTGTGGAGATACTATACCTAAGTCATGAAGCAAAACTAGATGTGTACCTTTTTGTGCAAGTAGATCTGCACAGACACATAAGAAAAAAGGAAAGAAATAATAAAGGCCCATGGTTTTCCCAGCAGCTTCTGGACAACTAAAGAACAGTAGAAAGGAGCAGCATAGCACTTCATAGTCCTGTCTCCCTCGCAGGTCCTTCCCCTTTGTGACTATCAGGCATATTGACTTTTCCAGAAACTGATGCTTTTAAACCTCAAACACATTGTCGGGTTGTTCCTTCCTTCAGTGATACAGTTTCTTGGATTTAAATTCATTTTGTTTGGTAGTCCTGCTAAGACTTTAGTGCCTATACCATCTGACAGAAGGAAGAACACTCGGCAAGCTCCACTACAAATTGAAATCTCCACAGAGAGTCCGTTTAGAAATAACTCCAGTTATTTCACAGCCATTAACAATTGCAGTGGCTATAAATGGAGATTTATTTATATAATTGTAATCGTGAGATATTTCTTGTCAGACATCCCCTCCTCACCCCACCCCTGTCATTTAATACCATCATCAGCTCTCTTAGTTTTAATAAGACATTGCTAGTGTTTCTGTCTCTCTCTTCAACTGACTAAAATGAAACAATGGGATGCCATAAGAAACGATTTAGGAAGGAAAGAGGTTGAAGAGGAACTAGAGAGGTGGCTTGGTGGGTAAAATGGGTCACTGCTCTTGTAGAGGACACTAATTCTATTCCCAGCACCCAGGTCAGGTGACTCACAACCAGCTTTAGCCCCAGCTCCAGGGAATCCAGTGCCTCTGGCCTTGGCAGTCACCAGCATACACCAGCACAGACCCACACACATATGCATAACAAAGAAGAAGGAGGAGGAGGAAGAGGAGGAGGAGGAGGGAATAAGAGGAAGAAGAAGAAGAATAAGAAGAAGAAGAAGAAGAAGAAGAAGAAGAAGAAGAAGAAGAAGAAGACCTCTTAAAAGCTCAAAGACAATTTTAAAAAAGGATTGTTAGCCAAGAAATTAGGCTTTTAAGAATATTTATTTTTAATTACATGTGCTGTGCAAGCATGAGGACTAGAATTGGGATCCCCAGAAACCCACATAAATGCCAGCTGAGTAATATATATATATATATATATATATATATATATATATATATTTGTTTTTCGAGACAGGGTTTCTTGTATAGCTTTGGAGCCTATCCTGGCACTCGCTCTGGAGGCCAGACTAGCCTCGAACTCACAGAAATCTGCCTCTGTCTCCCGAGTGCTGGGATTAAAGGTGTGCGCCACCAATGCCTGGCTGATATATATTATTTTATGTAATAGCTATCCTCATACAAATAAGTTATAAGTAAGAGCTCTTACATTGTTTTCTAAAAATATGAAAACATACACACTACCCAATTCTTTCCAAAATTTCTCCCTCCAATCCTAGGTCAGAAATTTCAACCACATATTTTTGTGTATGTGGTTGATGTCAATACTTGATGTACGTTGACATTTTTCTATATAGAAAGTTAAGAGTTATCAATGAGAGTCTCAAAAAAGGAAGAACCCATGCCCTAGACAATAAGAATGTGGGCACTGAATTGTCAGGACGTCGAGAACTTCCTTCAAAGAGCCAAAATACTGAAAGGTAAAGCAAAATTTATTGAATTTACCTTCAAATCATCCATTTCATCCGTGCAACTAGCAGAGAACTCTCATTCAGTAAGT